TATTCATTTAGTTAACACAGCAATGCATAAACCAGTTTTTGTTCGTTTACTAGTATTACTCCAGTCATTTGATTAAATACGAATGCAACTCAGCATTCTTACCTTTCAAATACAAAGAGCAGATCTTCTAATTTAACTTCACCTTCGATTAGTACACAGTTCTTAAGTGCTTTTATGTTATACAGACAGTTTCAAAAAAGTTTTACTGTAGATTTGTATCTGAATTTATCACATTTATTTCGGCTAGTTTCACACTATCTTACCATTGGTTTGTCAGTCCAACTTTTTGGTTAAGAATATGTTTTTAAATTAAGTATTAAAGCAATGCATAAAAACGTACCATGATAATATTTTAGTACTATAGTGATCCGCATGCAGGGTCTATTATGGTGAAAAGCATGTTGTTATTATTATTTAATTTCTAGTCCGATTTTATTAAAATTACGTCCATGTATATGTGTATGTATGTTTTTTTCAAAAATAACGAAACCACGCCTGCTGTTATTGTTGCATACATACACACATGCAACCAATCTTTAAGTAAAGCGAAGCTATGAAAAACTCTAAAAATATGAAAGCATACCCATATATAATGAAAAGTTGAATTAGTTTGTAATGTAAACGAAATGATATTAATCTAATTTAAATAACGTCGTCTTTCATCACTGATTTCAGTGTACAGCATATGGTTAGCTCATTCTGTTTATCTGTATTGCTTGGAAGAGTCTCCTAACTTTGAATAGCGGATAGTTAAAAATATCTCTGTAAATTCACATGAAGTATTTGGGCATGCACGTTATCAGGAAGTTCGCCAACCACAGGGGGGCGTTTCGCCAAAATTGTTTAGAGCCTTGGGTTTTTTTTTTTTACTACCCTGTAAATGGTATATCTATATATATATTTGACTTCTTAGTTCCAGACATATTCTAAAAAGTCAACATAACGAGACTACTACTATTGTAGTAGATTTAGAGGTTTACGATTATTTAGAGAACGATACTTTTATTGTGCTCGAGCGAACGAATCGATCCGAACGATTATCGAACTGACCAATTACTTGTTTTCGTATTTTATTTCCAAGTAATTAATTTACCAAGAGGCTGCACAACTAACCAGTCTAATTCATCCTTCATGCTGAAGATGTTAATGAAAAGGTTCCCATCTGTCGGTAATGCAATTTATCAGTTGCAGGTAGGTAAGATTTATTTTGACCAACTAATTACCTGGATGTTTTATTTCCACTTACTTTTATGATAACCATTGTTTATTAAGTACCAGTGTATCTTAGGGATACTTTTATGGTGACCATTGTTTACTAAGTACCAGTGTTTCTTAGGGATACTTTTATGGTAACCATTGTTTACTAAGTACCAGTGTTTCTTAGGTATACTTTTATGGTGACCATTGTATACTAAGTACCAGTGTTTCTTAGGAATACTTTTATGATAACCATTGTTTATTAAATACCAGTGTTTCTTAGGGAGACTTTTATGGTGACCATTGTATACTAACTACCAGTGTTTCTTAGGGATACTTTTATGATAACCATTGTTTACTAAGTACAAGTGTTTCTTAGGAATACTTTTATGGTGACCATTGTTTACTAAGTACCAGTGTTTCTTAGGGATACTTTTATGGTGACCATTGTATACTAAGTACCAGTGTTTCTTAGGGATACTTTTATGGTAACCATTGTTTACTAAGTACCAGTGTTTCTTAGGAATACTTTTATGGTGACCATTGTTTACTGAGTACCAGCTTCTAAGGAATATTTTTATGGTGACCACTGTTTATTAAGTACCAGTGTTTCTTAGCTCTCAGCTACTTATACCGCCCACCGCGAAAAGTAATTGTTAAACATTTCAATCATGCTAAGAGCCACTCAGCAATAGCATACGGTAAATCTAAATTTTTATTCTTTAAGTTACGTCACATTTTGAAATATGAATGATAATACGATTAATTCCTAACAATCTAGTGTAGAATATCCTGCTTGCAAAATAGAATTTGGAATCAACATTATTCATGCCTGTTCTCTCGTCATTTCAAAAGTGAATGTTGAGCTTTGCCTGCGTGCGCAGCTTTTCAAACGGGAAACAGACGAACGCTCGGACAGACACCATGGTTCGCAATATATATAAGATATAGATTTTCTACCTCTTTACTAAAGATTAATTGACAAATGTTAGTACTTGTTAACATATTGCATAGCGATCTTGCGTAGAAACAAGTTAGTGCGAGATTTTCCAGTTTCTTTACCAAGATAAATACAATATAATGCTTGCTTTTTTGGTATAGCCAAACTCGTCACTGTAAGGTACACCGCTTACTATGCAGAGAGTGCATTAACTTCTTAAATTGTGGAAAATTATAAATAATGTAGATTTTAATCTGATGAGTTAGATCCGAGTTTTTGGAGATTTTTCTACTCTTACACACACAGCTTATCTTGCCTTTTGTCAAATACACAGTATTATGCTACGATAGTTGTTGCTTCATAAAGTAACCTGAGTTAGGCGAGTTTTTCGGTGTTTATTATACGATGGAAAGACACAACATAATGCATAACCTGTCCTCCCCATATATATGTACATTTAAATTCATAATACAATAATTTTAGTCGTTGTGTAGCAATTCAGCATTACTTGTCATATAATCGTGATTTGTTAAATAACCATATACTTTAGGATTCTGTTGTTGAAGTAATATCTCTCAACACAAGGTTTAGCTGTCGTAGTTGTTGTCTAGAGTGAATGTTGTACGTGACATCCGGTGTTTGTTGCAAGCTGAAATAGAATGTACTGATTATTTTAAGCTTTACTTAGTTACAATGGCAAAATTGTTCATTATTGACGCATAGATAGAAGTAGGGTGAAAACGTAACATGAAATGTTACATATTAGATACTGTGTTTGGCCAAGTAAACAACAGCAGTTGTATTGTTGCGTCAGCGAGGTCACGTGACTAGTATCACGCCACGTCCTTCTCGAACCTTCGTGAGTTGTCGGGAGACTACTGGATTGGGGGTAGCCTGGTATATATATATATAAGACGGTCACAACGTGACGGAAGGGGGTGTGTAATTGAACGGAGTATTGTTGAGTCAAGCACGTGAGACGTTCGCTGAGAATTATAGCGTTTGTTATAGCGCGACTGTTGAAATTAATTGTATCGCAAAGTTATATTCAGGAAGAATAAACCAGTTTTATTTAAGAAAGGACTTGAGTCGCTTAAGTTTCATTGGAACGAATTTACGGAAAATTAACTAACGAACGGAGACGTAACAGTATTATACAGGCAATGCAGAAGTAAAGGTTCTTCCTTCGAATTAGATATACTTAGAATGGTTCATCAGTTTCAGTTGACAATATGTATCATTACTTTGTTTACTATATATACAAGTATAAAAATATTTAAATAAACACTTAGGAAGTAGGAATGGGATCATCAAAATGTGTGGAAACGAGCTAAGAATGAATGGGATAATATTATAATGCTTGGTGGTTTTGACACGGTACAACCTCACAGTGGGATTGGCCAGGTGGTTAGGGCGCTCAACTCGCAATCTGAGGGTCGCGGGTTCGAATCCACGTGTGCTCGCACCTTTCAGCCGTAGGGGCGTTATAATACCACTATTTGTTGGTAAAAGAGTAGCCCAAGAGTTGGCGGGGGGTGGTCTTTCACTGCTAAATTAGGGATGCCTATCGCAGATAGCACTCGTATAGCTTTACGTGAAATTCCAAACAAACCAAATGTCGCCCCACATGTTATTACTACGTATTATGCTAGTAGGTGCGTACTAAGAATACCTGAAATTTTAATTCTAAAACATCAACAAATAAATTTGTGACCTGAAGAACCAGAAACTGTGTAAATCAGGAAAGTTGAATTTATTTATAATTACAGATGTAGTAATTACTCTAATACAATGGCAGTGACTACAGCTTGGTTTAACAATTGGGAAGGTGCTGTATTAGAAGTGGTTTATTGTTATTGGAATATACATGAAATTTGAAGCGCATTTAAATGCGAAAGTTCCTTTCACATCAAAATATTCTATCTAATTTTTTTCCTACTTTTTTGATACTATATATTTTCGCTAATTGCAAGTTGCCCAACGAAAATAACTTAAATACAAATAACTTGTTAGCTGTTTGTGTTATTTGTTAATTGATTAGCTGTAAATCCAGTTATCGAACATTGATCAAATTGGGCTCAGGTTGACTTAGGATTTCGTAGCTAGCTGGCGAGCCGGGTTCGAATCCATGCAATACAACAATATTTCTTCACTATAAATTGTGGATGCGTTATAAGAGTAACAGCCAATTCCTTAGTGTTAATAATAGGTTGTAGGGCCCTGCTTCTAACTGACTGACTCCCTCTGGTCAGTAGTTCAAAATTAGGGATGGCGGCAGATAGTCTTAATATCTATAACATATGTACAAATTTACAAAATTATTATTATTTGATTATAAATAACGCCCTTTCTCTAATGTTTGTCATTTTTTGTACCTCACAAATAAATAATAGTATTTAGGTTTTATCCAACTTTTATTGGAATTTAACACATTTTTTCACACCGATATGTTAAAATTAGTGTATACCTGTGCACATATTGGCTAAACGCAATCGTTTATCCATTAATCCATTGATTTTTCGTTACAGATTTTCTTGATGTTGTGACATTTAATTAAAATATATTTTGGTGTTGTGTAGCAATAAGATAAAGGTGGGGGAGGGAGGCTTCAGCTACGGGATCTGAATTTGTTGTTTATAAGTTTTTATATTATGTTTTAAAATCAGACAGTTTAACAAAAAGATGACCGTTGTTGACGTTCAAAAACTATGCCCACGTGAATACATGGGCGGTGGTATTGGCGCCGGGAGTTTGGTGAACACAGTCGGTGGGTTCCGCAGAGGAAACCGGAGCATGCGTCACCATGAAAATCAATATTGACGTCTGAGTTGGAAATGCTGCATCGAAGGTAGATAGACTCACTTGGCAACGTAACATCATCAGAAGAGTGGTGCAATCGCTTCGTTCGACAAATTGCTTAATTCAGTGCCTCGTAGAATTAGTATTATATAATACAACTTTGTATAAAGAGTTGTGAAGCTTTGGCTCTAGAAAAGTTCATACATAATGCCTAATTCTGTCGATGTGGTGATTCCAATCTGTTTTCCGTTCTGAATCTGGCCACCTATTCCTCTACCTCAAGCTTTTATCTAGAGTTGTTCGAGCCGGTTGCCATGGTAACCGAAGATCAAGGGCAGGTACGTTTTGTGAAATTGACCAAGAATTCTTATGATTCTGTTAATAAAATGCTCAGTTTAAATGTTTAATAAAATGTAAAAGTTCAAAGCCACTTATGTACGCAATATGACTTGTTTCATAGTAGGGGCATAAGCGCATCGTCGACCTTTAAGTCGGCCAGAATAAAAGTGTGAATCAACATTTTTGTTCCTGTAGTGCAGGTATGACGTTATGGTATCGCACGCCATTCTGGCAAGTACAGCAAAATGGTTTTATATATACGCAAACACATACATCTGTTTATGTTTTTGGTTTACATTTTTTTGCCAGTTTACTTTTTAGAGCTTTCACTGTTGTTCTAGATTTTATTACTCTGTATGAAAACTACCAGTTAACTAAATGAACCCTTAACCCTCCAAAAAACCTCATCGGTGAAAAGGCTATTTATGGTCTTTATTGAAATAGCTCAGTAGAACCAACCTTTCCTGTGGACTTACGAGCGTAAAAATGCTGTTTTGTGGTGCAAAAAGACCTGCTAGCGGCCTGATATATTGATTGTGTTTTGAGAGTTATGGGTATCTTCTTTGTATTTTGGCTCTCCTAAATATTCACTGTTTATTGCTTCAAGTCTATCAATGGTATAAGAAAGATGTAATAAAATAATCTGTGATATAAAATTAATCACAATTATCAAATACCGCGAATAATAAACAAACGGAGTGATAAAATCGGAAAATACAAAGAACTGTGTAATCTCATTGTAAGTGGAAAAAGGTTTGTGTGATGATCGTTCTAAACAACCATCATTGTATCCTGAAGAAACGGTAAAAATTTTGACCAGTCTTTTCTTTTTTGCCTTTCAGCAGTTCAGATTCAGTATTATATTATTGAGACTGGTATATGGTAAAACAATCTTAGATCTGTTTTTCTAAGTGTTAAACAAAACTTTTATTATTTTTGCAAAGAAAATATAACGATTAGGTTGCATATCTATTATGCGTTTTTTTAAACCCTGGACAAAATCAAATCAATAAAATAAAAAATAGACCATTTCGTCTAGCCCCAGTGGCACAGCGGTATGTCTGCGGAGTTCCATCGCTAGAATTCGGGTTTCGATACCCGTGGTGGACAGAGCACAGATAGCCCATTGTGTAGCTTTTTGCTTAATTACAAACAAACAAACCCTTTCGTGTTAACGCCCAGCTTATCAGATGTCTTTGAATATGGTTTATCAACTTTTATTATATTTCATTCCTCTATAAGTATTATGAGGTATTATAAGGATGGATGACATGGGCTGATAGAGATTCCTACTATCTATGAGTATCATGGGTTTTTACACTCAAATTCTTGTCAAACAATAATATGTAAATATGAATATGGATCAGGCAGACCATGTAGTATGTTTACTAAATTAGGCTTGCCAGTCTAAACATTTTTTTGCCTGTAAGGTTAGTCTAAGAAGCTTTAACTGAAAGAAAGCTTGCTTTTATAAAACCAATATATTTAATATTGTTACGTCTCCGTTTGTTAATTGATTTTCCGTAACTTCGTTCCGACGAAACTTAAGCGACACAAGTTCTTTCTTAATAAAAACTGGTTTATTCTTTCCGAATATAACTTTACCGATAGAACATTCGCCAAAGTACAGGATAATTCTAGAAAGTAGAGAGCGTGAGAATCACATGATCTCGATGACGCAA